GCATCACTTCCACTTGTACGGAAGACGTCAACATACGCATTGCCCGATGAACGATTTTTTTAGATTGGTTAATGTGGGCCATGATTTCAACCAATGAACGAACGCCTCTCGGTCGTCGGATGACTGATTGGTCGATTTTCTAATCGTGCATTCCCACCTTAAGGCTAGGTTCACACACCTAGTGCTGAGGCACAATGCCTCCCAATGACACCAACGATGGGGCACAATTCCTGCCAATGACACCAGCTATAGGGCACCGTTCCTGCAATGACACCAACAATGGAGCCCAATGACGGGGCAAAAATTTCTAACCCAATATACCAACAATGGGGCACAGTTCCTCCCAATGATAACAACGAGGCCTAATGACACTAATGATGAGGTAAAAATTCTTACCAAAGACTCCAATAATGGGGGGCTCAGTTTCCTCCCAATGACACCAACAATGGGGACCAATAACAACAATGATAAGGCACAATTCTTCCAATGACACCATTGCTGAGGCACAATGCCTCCCAATGACACCAACGATGGGGAACAATTCCTGCCAATGACACCAGCTATAGGGCACCGTTCCTCCCAATGACACCAACAATGGAGCCCAATGACAACAATGATGGGGCACAGTTCCTCCCAATGACACCAACAATGGAGCCCAATGACGCCAATGGGAGCAAAATTTCTACTCAATTACACCAACAATGGGGCACAGTTCCTCCCAATGATAACAACAATGAGGCCTAATGACACTAATGATGAGGTAAAATTCTTACCAAAGACTCCAAACAATGGTGCTCAGTTCCTCCCAATGACACCAACAATGGGAACCAATGACAACAATGATAAGGTACAATTCCTTTCAATGACACAAGTGCTGAGGCACAATGCCTCCCAATGACACCAATGATGGGGCACAATTCCTGCCAATGACACCAGTTATAGGGCACAATTCCTCCCAATGACACCAACAATGGAGCCCAATGACACCAATGATGGGGCAAAATTTCTACCCAATTACACCAACAATGGGGCACAGTTCCTTCCAATGATAACAACAATGGGGCCTAATGACACTAATGATGAGGTAAAATTCTTACCAAAGACTCCAACAATGGGGCTCAGTTCCTCCCAATGACACCAACAATGGGGACCAATGACAACAATGATAAGGCACAATTCCTTCCATTGACACCAGTGCTGAGGCACAATGCCTCCCAAAGACACCAACGATGGGGCACAATTCCTGCCAATGACACCAGTTATAGGGCAGAGTTCCTCCCAATGACACCAACAATGGGACCCAATGACACCGATGATAGGGCACAATTCCTACCAATAACAACAACGATGGGGCACAGTTTCTCCTAATGATACCAACAGTGGGGCCCCATGAGACCAATGATGGGACACAATTCCTACCAATGTCACCAATGACGGGGCACAATTCCTCTCACTGACACCAAAGATGGGGCATTGTTTACTCCAGCTGATGCCGGAACATTCTCTACTTTCAATGGCCACAGTCCGGCCCCCCTAAAGTCTGAAGGACAATAAGCTGGCCCCTTGTTTGGAAAGTTTGGAGACCCCTGGTCTACAGGCATTGCACCCCCCGTGGCACAGTTGCAATGCTTTGCAGGCAAAAAAAATAAATAAATGCAGACTTTTTTTTTTCATTTCGGGGGGGTGCATTTATTTATTTATTTACTTTTTGCAAAAGGTGGAGTTATCCTTTAAGTACAAGGTGTGTAACTGAGGAGCTGAAAAAGAGCGTGACTCTTCCCCCCCCCCCCTCATGGCACGCTGGCTGCACTTCATACAGATGTAAAGACTTCCAGTATACCGTGACACCCAGCCTACGCATGACACCGCAGCGCCCGTATAATATTCTATAGACATACCGAGGACTGAATGTCCATAGAGGATCAGATCCTCCTTCCCAGCCCGGCTCTCAGGGACATCAGAGCTGACTTACAGGAAAACTCCATCTGCTACAATCATTTTCCATAATACAAGATCCTCCTCGCTATGTATAGGTTGTAATCATTCATGCAGGCAGCCATGTTTGATCTTTGCATAGAAATACTGTACTGAGCGGAGAAAATATGTGATAAAGACACATTTTACTGTATACAGAATTTCTATTTTAAATTATTAACACATTGGGATGGATTTATAAAGAATTCACACAGCCATTTTCCCGGTGAATGTGCATATAAGTTGGTTCTGTGTGAATGGGGCAAAAAACGAATGTTAGTAGGCTATAGCATACACTGTTCAAATGTAAAATAGAAATACTTGCATTTGGCCACTAGATAGAAGTGTTACTACACCCAGGACCCCGCATTCACTATATCCGCTCTCCCCGGACCCCGCATTCACTATATCCGCTCTCCCCGGACCCCGCATTCACTAAATCCGCTCTCCCCGGCATTCACTACCCCGCATTCACTATATCCCAGCTACCCGGACCCCGCATTCACTATATCCGCTCTCCCCGGACCCTGCATTCACTATATCCGCTCTCCCCGGACCCTGCATTCACTAAATCTGGTCTCCACGGACCCTGCATTCACTATATCCGCTCTCCCCGGACCCTGCGTTCACTATATCAGGTCTCCCCGGACCTCGCATTCACTATATCCACTCTCCCCGGACCCTGCATTCACTATATCCGCCCTCCATGGACCCCGCATTCACTATATCCACTCTCCCTGGACCCTGCATACACTAAATCCGGTCTCCCCGGACCCTGCATTCACTAAATCCGGTCTCCCCGGACCCTGCATTCACTAAATCTGGTCTCCCTGGACCCTGCATTCACTATATATCTGCTCTCCCCAGACCCCGCATTCACTATATCCGCTCTCCCCGGACCCTGCGTTCACTATATCTGGTCTCCCCGGACCCTGCATTCACTATATCCGCTCTCCCCGGACCCTGCATTCACTATATCCGCTCTCCCCGGACCCTGCATTCACTATATCCGGTCTCCCCGGACCCCGCATTCACTATATCCGGTCTCCCCGGACCCTGCATTCACTATATCTGGTCTCCCGGACCCTGCATTCACTATATCTGGTCTCCCCGGACCCTGCATTCACTATATCTGGTCTCCCCAGACCCGCATTCACTATATCTGGTCTCCCCGGACCCTGCATTTGCTATATCTGGTCTCCCCGGACCCTGCATTCACTATATCCGCTCTCCCCGGACCCCGCAATCACTATATCCGGTCTCCACGGACCCTGCATTCACTATATTTGGTCTCCCCGGACCCTGCATTCACTATATCTGGTCTCCCGGACCCTGCATTCACTATATCCGGTCACCCCGGACCCTGCATTCACTATATCTCTGCTCTCCACGGACCCTGCATTCACTATATCTGGTCTCCCCAGACCCTGCATTCACTATATCTGGTCTCCCCGGACCCTGCATTCGCTATATCCGGTCTCCCCGGACCCTGCATTCACTATATCTGGTCTCCCCGGACCCTGCATTCACTATATCCGCTCTCCCCGGACCCTGCATTCACTATATCCACTCTCCCCGGACCCCGCAATCACTATATCCGGTCTCCACGGACCCTGCATTCACTATATCTGGTCTCCCCGGACCCTGCATTCACTATATCTGGTCTCCTGGACCCTGCATTCACTATATGCGCTCTCCCCGAACCCTGCATTCACTATATCTGGTCTCCCCGGACCCTGCATTCACTATATCTGGTCTCCCCGGACCCTGCATTCACTATATCTGGTCTCCCGGACCCTGCATTCACTATATCTGGTCTCCCCGGACCCTGCATTCACTATATCTGGTCTCTCCAGACCCTGCATTCACTATATCCGCTCTCCCCGGACCCCGCATTCACTATATCCGCTCTCCCCGGACCCCGCAATCACTATATCCGCTCTCCCCAGACCCTGCATTCACTATATCCGCTCTCTCTGGACCCTGCATTCACTATATCTGGTCTCCCCGGACCCCGCAATCACTATATCCGCTCTCCCCAGACCCTGCATTCACTATATCCGCTCTCCCTGGACCCTGCATTCACTATATCTGGTCTCCCGGACCCTGCATTCACTATATCTGGTTTCCCTGGACCCTGCATTCACTATATCTGGTCTCCCCACCCTGCATTCCACTATATCCGCCCTGCATTCACTATATCCACTCTCTCCGGACCCTGCATTCACTATATCTGGTCTCCCCGGACCCTGCATTCACTATATCTGGTGCTCCATAGACACACACACAGCGTGACTTAGCCCCACCCACCCACTTCCTCTTCACTACATTTGATTGACAGCAACGAGAGCCAATGGCTCCTGCTGCTGTTCAAGTCCCTGTGTGAAGAGGAAGCAAAGGGAGAAGTGACGCAGCATGCCATGCACAGCGCTGATCTCTTCTCCCCTCTCTTCCCCTTCGCACAGGGAAGGAGATCCCAGGGAGACTTCAAATGGTTTTTTTTACCTTGATGCAAGCAGTACATTAAAGATAAAAAAAGTTTTAGGTTTAGTATCACTTTAATCCCATCTAGTGGCCGAAGGCAGTATTTTCCATTTGCAATCAATGGTTTACATTCGAACAGCACAGGCTGTAGCCTCTGTACATTCGTTGTTCTCAGAACAGATGTACATGCATTGGGCCAATACCTATGCAATTCCATTAACAGATTAACCCCTTACTGACTGACTGTGGATTCAAAACAAGTCCGTCCTGTGTGAGGATGAAAATAGGATGTGGGACTTTGAGCGGACCCCTTGGGAGTGTAATAGACACAAAAAAATATACAGATTATGTCATCAATAAAAGCATTTTTCATTTATTAATAAGATGCATCTTTGTCCCGTCACCTACCGGGAACTCCCCCCCCCCCCCCCCCCCTTCCAGTCCAGGCCAATTTTCAGCTTTCAGTGCTGTCGCACTTTGAATGACAATTGCACAGCACCCATATGAAATTTTTAGCATTTGTTTGAGACAGATATAGCTTTCTTTTGGTGGTATTTAATCACCTATGGGTTTGTTTGTTTTTTTTCTAAACAAAAAAACCCCCAAAATTAAAAAAAAAAAAAGTTTTTCTTAGTTTCTATTAGAAAGTTTTGTAAATAAGTGACTTTTCTTTTTCACTGATGTGCGCTGCGAGGCTGCACTGATGAGACTGCACTGATAGGCTGCACTGATGGGCACTGATAGGCTGCACTGATGAGACTGCAGTGATAGGCTGCACTGATGGGCACTGATAGGCAGCACTGATGAGACTGTACTGATAGGCTGCACTGATGAGACTGCACTGATAGGCTGCACTGATGAGCACTGATAGGCTGCACTGATGAGACTGCACTGATGGGCACTGATAGGCTGCACTGATGAGACTGCACTGATAGGCTGCACTGATGGGCACTGCTAGGCTGCACTGATGAGACTGCACTGATGGGCTGCACTGATGGGCTGATGCTGCACTGATGAGACTGCACTAATAGGCTGCACTGATGGGTACTGATGAGGAGGCACTGATGAGATCGCACTGATAGGCAGGGCTGCCGATAGAAACTACAGGGCCCTATACAGCCAACCTGACAGCCCCCCCCCCCCCAAAAAAAAAACTTCAGTTATGAACACAGTGAGTGATCGGTACTTATCACTCATTGTGTTCATTCAGTAAAGGAAGGGGCTGGTAAATGTGACATATTTCTCCCACTCTCCATCCTGAAGGATCCTATTGTGTGCTTGCAGCTGCCAGTGGAAAGGAGAGGAGGGAAGCCAGCAGCACTGCGGGGGGTGGAGAAACACAGGGGGGGCTGGGCAGCAGGGGGCAATGTATGGTGCACGGGGAGGGTGATGGGTGCGGTGGGAGAGAGCAATTACTTGAACCCTTCCCCTGTATGGCTCTATGTGCAGCAGCTGAAAGCCAGCGGGAGCTTTGAGCTGCTGCAGAGAGAAACATACAGGGGATTGGTTCCAGTCATCTTCCTGCCCACATCCGATGCACCCAGCTGCCTGGGCCCTGGTGGTACCCCCTTATCCATGGCCCTACTAACAGGCATCACTGATGGGTACTGACAGGCATCACTGATGGGCACTGACAGGCATCACTGCTGGGCACTGACAGGCATCACTGATGGGAACCGACAGGCATCATTGATGGGCACCGACAGGCATCACTGATGGGAACTGACAGGCATCACTGATGGGCACTGACAGGCATCACTGATGGGAACCGACAGGCATCACTGATGGGAACCGACAGGCATCACTGATGGGCACCGACAGGCATCACTGATGGGCACTGACAGGCATCACTGATGGGAACCGACAGGCATCATTGATGGGCACCGACAGGCATCACTGATGGGAACTGACAGGCATCACTGATGGGCACTGACAGGCATCACTGATGGGAACCGACAGGCATCATGATGGGAACCGACAGGCATCACTGATGGGAACCGACAGGCATCACTGATGGGAACCGACAGGCATCATTGATGGGCACCGACAGGCATCACTGATGGGCACCGACAGGCATCACTGATGGGAACTGACAGGCATCACTGATGGGCACTGACAGGCATCACTGATGGGCACTGACAGGCATCACGCTGTCCGCATTTCCTAGTTACACTGCAGCTGAGATTGGACACAGCTGGTCACATGTAAAAGGTGGGTCTGATTGGCCCTTTACTTGGGCGCCTGGGGGGGTGTGGTTCTGGGAGGACATCCATGAACACCCTACCAGAACCATTGGTGTATATAGGTTTTGTGCTGCCCTAGGCAACACAATGATCGTCTGCCCCCACGGACACTGACCAACACCAACCCCCCCGCCCCCTTGCCCCTCTTGTGGAGAAAGCCTGACATTGACCAACAAAATCCATGTCCCCCACCTGGGAGAGCCTTCCACTATCCCCCCCCCCCCTCGGCCATAGAGAGAAAGACACTCATCTTCATCTCTGGACATCCCCAGGAATGAGGGTCAGGCTCTACATACACCATTAAGCAGCCTGCAGCCTCTCTTGGATCCCACTTGGTTCCCATGGAGCACATGTCCCTTCTTTCATCCCTTCTTCTGGGGGGAAAGGTGCTGCCCCCCTGAAAAATGCCACCCTAGACAAGTGCGTTGTTTGCCTTGTGGTAAATACGCCCCTGACCAGAACTAGCCGACCGGGCTGTAGCCGTCTTTTGGCTATAAAGCGGTTGGGAAGTGGTTAAAAACACAATAAAATCCCTAAAACATACACTCATTATGACATCATACATCACATAAGTCCCACACAGTGTGCAGAAACATCAACGCGTTTCACGCTACCAATCGCTTCCTCCGGATGTACGCTGGAAGATCGGCTTAAATATTGTCCAGTTAGAAGTCACAAACCAGCTAGAAAAAAACAGAGGGATGTCATCACCCCAAACGGGATTGAGATGTAATGTTCATGCACCTTCCTCCACTTTGTGCAAGACTGGCAGCCAGAGACCCCCCCCCAAACAGTGCCCCCCCCACATAGTTGTATATTGGGTGGGCTCGGAACATGCACAGGACTGGTATCCCCCTAATACGGGGGTGTCAAACTCACATTAATCGCATACTGCGTTAGCATTATGGTCACCCTAGATGTAAGTCTAGATGTTCAGAGCACCCCCCCTCCTCCTCACATCAGATGTCCCACCATCATAAGTCCGACTTCCCACCATCATAAGTCAAGAGTCCCCCACCCTCCCTTACATCACAGTGCACCCTCCCCCCCCCCTTTTACCTTGTGCTGCTGCTGGGAAGAAGCTATGGGCAGAGCTAGGAAACGGAAAGTGCAGAGTCTGTAGGAGGACCTGAGGAGGGCTGGAGCAGGGGTGGACTGACAACTCATGGGGCCCCCGGGCAATAGGGGATCATGGGACCCCTGTGTCCTTGTCCAAACTCAAAAAAGCCTATGAAAAAGGTACCAGGGGCATCTCATGGGGCCCCCTACTGACCCTGGGCCCTCGGGCAGTGCCCGAGTTTCCAAATGGTCAGTCCGTCCCTGGGCTGGAGTCTGCTGAATGCTGAGATCAGGGGAGGCGGAGACAAGGGGGTGCTGCGGCTGCACAGAGAGGCGCACTATCTGCAGGAGGAGTTCTTTCCTCTCTGCTGCCGAATGCTGAGACCAGGGGCGGACTGACCATTCGAGCACTCGGACACTGCCCGAGGGCCCAGGGTCAGTAGGGGGCCCCATGAAATGCCCCTGGTACCTTTTATAGGCTTTTTTGAGTTTGGGCAAGGACACAGGGCCCCATGATCCCCTATTGCCCGGGGGCCCCATGAGTTGTCAGTCCGCCCCTGGCTGAGACAAGGTGGGGACGAGAGAGATGCCGCAGCTGCAGGAGAGGTGCGAGGGCCATACAAAATGGGCCTGGTGGGCCGGTTTGGCTCAAGGGCCTTGTGTTTGACACGTGATTTAGATCAAATCAACATTTTTTTTTACCGCCCCCCCATTGCAGTGCTAGTTCCATGACAGGCCTGTTGCTATATGAGGACCACCAGGTAACAAGCAACCCTTCCAATTATTGGCCGCTGGTAGACTCCATTGCTGCAGACAACCCTCCCTGTCCCAGGTTCCTCTTCAGTATCAATGTAGCACATGTTATAGGTCGTTTTGCAAATGTCATCAACTCAATTACATGA